TACCAAAAACCCCCAAAAAAAAAAAAAAAAAAAACCTGAAAGAGGCCAGCACATAATGGACAGTCAGGAAATGCAGTTCTCTTGTCCTTACTTTGCACCTTTCATTCAGCAAGTAGGTAAACCTTCCTGAAACCCGATTCGGACAGAGTTGACAGAGCATCATCTCTTTGATTGCAAGAAATTAGAACAAAGCCATTGAATCTATGTAGCCTTTTTCTCTCAGCATATGCCAAGATTCTTTCATTTGGGCCTTCATCACATTATCTTAGCAAATCAGACAAAAATGTCTAAGTGATCTTGTTTTCCAGACTACACTGTATGCTTCAAAGTGCCATCTGCTTGTGACTTGTTACAAAACGGAGTCAACAGAGCCATTTGGTGACATTTTAAAAAGTGATTTCAGTGTTTGTTACCAAGGGACATAATTCCTAGAGTTTGTGCAGTTTGTTCTGTGTGCTTAGGATGTGAAATGAAGCCTTCACAGAGACTCAGCTGTTTCAATGTATTATCCCCATTAACCCAGGAAGCAGGTTTTAAAGTGGGTCTCTTTCCACTTTAATGACCTTCCCATGTCACTCCAACCTTTCCTGTCAATGATGAATGTTTAAAGTTTATCACCTCCTAGTCATTACTGTAAAATAAGAGAAAGTGGGGTGGGGAAGCCCACAGATTTACATGATCAATCTTACCATTAGCCAAATCTCAATTCTGCAATATAGTAAGGTGGAAAAAAATCTCTAGAACACAATTTAAAGTCATAGGTTCTTGGTCACATGTGAATTTGGTGACTTTACCAACATACCTTTTAACCTTAGCTCTCTTTTCTTACCTTCAGAAAGGAATGAATATACCTGTCTTGCCCATCCCCTCGGGCTGATAAAATCACTGAGATAATGTACTAGTAGCCTCATTTCTTAAGACTCTTTGGGGGCTTCCCATCTACTGTAGTTCAGTTCGTACTACATTGTCACACACAGTGAATCCTAAACTGAACCATAAACTCTCACATGATTTGTTCACCTTATTTTTATATCCAAGTTTTCTATAAGAGACCATAACCTTCTTTCATTGTCTCTCTTCCATACTCTGAGTCTGGCCAGAGTTGATTCTTCCTGGCTTCCAGCTGATTCCATGTATTTGTACTAAACTCTGAACACCTACTTCTCTGTAGGTTGATCACCCTTCCATGGCCTAAATGCTATAAAATTCATCTCTTGCTTCCTGAAAATGCATGAGTACCTGACAAATTGGGATGATCAAAACAGACAAGCATCTCTACCCTCTTGGAGAAAATATTTCATTCCTCTGGACTCATGATCCTGGGCATACTGATAAGAACACACAAGCATCAACAATCCAATGTCATACTCTCTCCTCTTACTGAGAAATTTCCCCCAGTGTTTCTTGGTATCTACATTTGCTCATGAACTCCAAGGCAATGGTCACTACACAAGTCATGGCCCAGACCACAGGCCACTATTTAAGCCATCCACAAGAAGAGCGCAATCTCCCATCTTCCCCAGAGTTAATCATCTCCATGTAGCCACTGTGTTGGTAAATTCTGGACAGGGGTAGAGAGGAAGTTACCTCCCCATTCTGAATCACCTGCACCAGAGTAGTTGTGCTTCTAATCAGAGACTCAATTCTTTACTAGAAATGATCTCCCAAAAAGTTTCCAGAAAATATTATTTTTAGCATCTGATATTAACAACTTTCTCCATAAACCTCAAAGCCAGTCACTTGTCAGAGAACAGAAACCATTAAATTAATATCCTTCCATTGTCTTTAAGCAATACAGTAACCCCAAATCTGAGAGGATTTGTGTGTAATGTCTACCTAGTCCAAAGAAATCATCCTGAGGTCCAGCAGGTAAAGACTGCTTTGTTAGAACGATGGGAGGTTTATGGTGGCAAGATGATGAAGAGTCATGCCTCAATATGATGCCACAAACAATTTTATAGCCATGAGAGCAAAACAAGCTTGGGACTGTCAACAGGTAGTCTCCTCAGACCCTTACAAAGTTGTATAGTCAGTTAATTGTGTCCCCTCAGCTCAGCTGTCTTCATTCTGTAGCTCATTACTGGGGTTATACACATTCTCCAGAGACCAGCCTTGGCCGGTCTGCTCCCTGAAGGAGAGGGTAGAGGAAGCCAGATATGGGGTGGGGGCACAGTTTATATCTGGATGAAACCCCACACCTTGTATATTCTCCTCCCCATTTGGATACTTATGCTTAATCATCCCCTATGCCCTTTGCCCTTAGTGGTCAATCTGCAACCTCTAATTGGCCTTAACTATAATAGAACACCCTAGAAACAGAATCTGGGAAATCTATCTAAAGCTTCATGCTTTTGATTTGTTTAGTTCAGAAGTAGTCACCACTTTAAGCTTGAAGCAGTTCAAGCTATGCCCAATTGAAGGCACAGATTGGTGCCCAGGCACATCGGAACACTTTCAGAGAACAACCTCTCTAGTATCCTGGCTGCTTCACCTCCCACTGGCCCTACGAGCTGCCTTTAACGTGCCAGGTCTACTTCCCTCAGAGAGATGCATAAGTGTTTAGAGGTGAGGCATGGGAGCTCAGCCAAGGCTGTTTAAGGACTGAAGAGACTAAACCATTTGTGTAGGCTGAAAGCAATTAGCCAATGGTAAAAGTCGAAGATATCAAAGAATGAGACGTACTGGGCCAGGGAATCTTGGCGAGGCAAGAGTAGGTCCAAACCACCATTCAGGTGGTCGGATTGTTCTTGAACAAGCATGAGCACTGACTCCTGTATCCACTGAAACAGATAAGTGAAGATGGACAGGGATGTGAATAAATTAGGGAAAGTCGATGGCATAATGGTTATATCACTGGACTCCCACGTGGTCAACCAGGGTCAACCATGTGGTCCTGAACCCAGGGGCTTGAAACTCACACTGGGCGCATATGTGTGTATACTCAGGATCCCAAGAGGAGAATGGAGGAGAAGGAATTGTGGCATGGCCATTCCCCTGGAGAATGATTTCTCATTTTCTGTCTCACTGTCTCTTCAGTGAGCACACATACCCTATAGCAAAAATCTCTTTAGAAAAATGGGGGGTAGTAGGGAAATTGAGGGGGCCATGATGGCACTTTCTGTTTTTTTCTAGGAGGCTGTAACTGGGATCATTGCTTAAGAAATGAACAGTGAAAGCACCCAGCCCCACCCTTGTCGTGGAGCAAGAGATAGAAAAAAATTATAATCACTTCTTTCTCCTTGACAGATCGAAATGTTTTTGCAAATGTTTACCCACAAAAGACCTCATGTAAAAATAACTATTACACCATCCATATATTTTGCCTTGTACGTGAAACACATGAGCCTTCCTGAAACTTATATTTTAAATCTAGCGCTATAGTGACTGCTCTAAACTTATCTGTTTTTAAAATAACTTGGCCCAAGTACATTCTATTAGAAAAGCCTTATGACCACACATGTTCTCTTTCTGTGATCCACAATCCTAGAGAATGTTCTGGAACCTTACCAGCAAAGAGGTGTGTGCAGGAAGAAAACTCAACTCTGGAGCTTTTGTGTTCCATGTTGTAAAAATGGCTCCAGACATGACAAATGAGAGAAAGCTAATCCAAAACATGAACATTTTCATGTTTGGACTTTAAAAATTTTAATAAGCAAGATTTTTTCTGAGCCAAAGCAAGTTCTTGGCTTCCAAATATTTTAGATTTACATTTCCTTCCTTTGATTATTTGAAATCATAAGGGTTTGATTGGGGAGGTTTAATGCTCAGAATTCGGGGCAGCTGGCAGACAGACCACAGCGGGTGGTGCTCTCCTCACCCTACCATCTTTCCTCTAAGCCACGATGGGAAGGAGCAAGGCTGCAGATGGGTTGAGCCCAAATTTGAGCCAGTATTTCAGGGCTCCAAAGGGGTGAGTTCTCTTTAAGAACAAGGGTTAGGAGCTTGAGGTTTTGGGTTTTGGGGGTTTTTTGAACACTGATTCTCCTTCTCTATCCTGCAAACTCTTGCCAGTACTGATCCTTTTGATTGTCTTTTAGGAATTCGAGTTACCTGCAACACCAGGCCATAATAGGGAGCCAGGGTTAAATACTTACAAAGTGCCTGACAGCACTATAGGCACTTAGGACAGAACTGTGATCCAGACAGACACCCCCCGCCCCTCGCCCCAGGGTCTTAGAGCCCCGTGAGAGGCAGACAAATTGCAGAGACATCCATGTCCATGGGACCATGAAGAAGAGGGTGGTGCAAGGGGCAGAAAGGGGCAGCGCGCTCCACTAGACAGTGGGGTCAGAGGAAGCTGGGAGAATGGAATGTCCTTGTCTGAGCAAAGAAAAACGAGATGTGCAGGCATCTGGGAGAAGAGCATTCTTAGCTGAGTAGCAAGCAGGAAACAAAACAGGATAGATTGTCTTGGCTTGTCCCACAAATAGCGTGGATCACGTGAGGCCCGAAGGAGTGGAAGTGAGATCATCTCCAGCTTTGCAAGGACTTTGGGCTGTATTCTGAGGGAAGTGGGAAGCTATTATAGGGTTTTAAGCAGCAGAGTGATTGACAGGTTCTGTCTTCAATTCTGAAAGTTCATACTCACTGCTTCTTGGAAAATAGACTGTCAGAAGGCAAGGGCAGGTGGATTGTGTATCATTTCTGCCCTGGTTCCCAGTAGGCTGTCCAGGCAATTTCAGTAACAACCACAGTCTCACCTGGTGAAGAATTCATAGTCCAAAGTAAAACAGACGTACATAAAAATGTGAAAACTATCTATCTTACAGGTAATATTTTATATCTTATATTATGTTTGAGTACAGATAAATTATGTCATTGCATAGTAATAAAGTGAAATACACCTAACTAAGGATAGTTATTTTGATAGCATTTTATTTCAGCAGCCAGAAATCTCTCACGCCAGACTGCTATGTTCAAAACCAGACCTGGAAGTCAAAGCTGTCTACTGGCCTGCCCTTTCCTCGGGTTTGCCTTTCCTGACAATCAGTGAGATACACCCTAAAGACCAAGGAGACATCCCTGTTCCAGCCAGACTTACCAGCTCCTCAGGTACTGCTCTGGAGGTGGTGGCCAGAGCTCCACATGTACCATGACCTCAATTTGCCTGGCCTTGTCTCTCGTGCATGGGCTTTTAGGAGAACAGTTTGGAGAGGAATTAATGGAAATTAGCCAGTCGAAGACTGATATGTCAGAGGTCATGGACCTCAATCAGTGATTTTTTTAGTAGACATTTGTAGCCTTTGTATAATTATTTAATTCAAAAAATTCATATCTTTAATATGTTTAATATGTACCAGGCATTGTTCTAGATGCTTAGGACTCAGAAACAAAAATACATCCCCTCATAGGGCTTACATTTCATGGGGATCTTCTCATCTTGCCCTATCTTAGGCAATACAGAAATAAATAAGTAAAATATGGGACCAGCAGGTGGCATGGTACTTAAGGTGCTAGACACTCCCACATGGATGACCATGGTTCAAGTCCCAGACCTGGGGGTTTGCTTTCTCACTTCCTCTCTTTCTCTCTTTCTCCCTCTCTCTCTCTGAGTGTGTATGTGTATGTGTGTGTGTCTGGTCAAATAAAAATAAATGAATGAATAAATAAAATTAAATAAAAAATAATTATTTAAAAAACAAAATAAGTAAAATATATAGTATGTTGGATTTTGACACATACAATGGAGAAAATAAAGAAAGGAAGAAAATGAAGGATTGAGTTTGCGAGTTTAAGAGTGATCAGGAGTGGGTTCACTGGGAATGTGACATTTGAGTATAAATATGAAAGAAGTAAGAGAAGATGATGCTATAGATAGATAAAGCATAGGTGTAGATATTGGTATGGATGATATAGATAAATATAGATATAAACATAGATAGACACACCTGAAGGAAAACTTTTTGTGGCCAGGAAGAACAACATATGACAATGCCCTGTCCTGGGGCAGGAACATGCCTGGCTTGCTTAAAGAGCAACACAGAGTCATCAGAGCCAGATGACCAAAGGACCAAGAAGTAGAATATGAGGCAACACAATGGGAAATGCAGGCCACAGAAGGTCTCTGGCTCATTCTAAGTCTTTAGCTTTCATTCAAAGTACAGAAGCTATCGAAGGTCCAAACAGGATTCCTCTGATGGCTGGTGGCTTCTCCCAAACTCATAAGTAGGTAGGCTAGGTGGAGACTGTTGATCGTGACAGGTGATAATATTGAAAGGGACAAAGGTGGCATCAGTAGAGTTGGTGAAAAAATGGTGAGATGCTTGAGGTTATGTTTATTGAGAACAAAGGGATTTGTCAATGTGGAATTTCTGTGAAAAAAGAGATATCATTGTGAGATATTTTGCTTGAGCGCCAGAAAAAAATATATATATAAAATCTCTTCAAGAGAAGAAAACTAATGTACGACAAAATAATTGCTGAAGTGATGTCACTGAGTAAGTTAGAAAGGGAGGGAAAATGGAATCTAAAACACAAATAAAAGGTTGATCTTGAATTGAGACACTAACACTTCATTCTCAATAACAAGAGGAAAGCTGAGTGCACCAACATAATGCAGTATAAAAAGAGGTGTCAATATAGGAAAAGGTGGTAGAAGCTTGTTCTTTTCTTATTACTTCTATTTCTCAATAAAATGGGAAATAAGGTCATTGCTTGGGAGTGACAATGGGAGAGGATGAATTGGAAGTGCATAGATAAAAGAGACAGTATGAAATAGTTACAAAACTGGGGATTCCAATGAAAGAGGAAAACACAATATCATTGATGGGCAGCATTAATTAATGACCCTTTCGAGGCAAATGAGTTTTGAGATGGAAAGTAGGGAGCATGGTTGTGTTTTGTTTTGTTTTGTTTTGTTTTGTTTTATCAGTCCATCTAGCCAAAGGAGGTGTTAGCCAAATAAGATGGAATAAAGAAAAAGAGGGGCCAAGCCGTCAAGGATGTATTCCAGAGAGTAATTATAGAATCTAAACAGAATACAGAAGGTGAGGACAAATAGAATACAGATTAAAGGTAGCAGTGTATTAGTGAAGTCAACAGGCTGGTGAATTTGGGATAGTGAGTGGAGAGAGTGAATAGGAAAGATACAAAGCAGCAGGACAGTGAGAAGCGTGAACATGAGCTTATGAATACACTATGGTTATTGGTAATAATGCATCTATATTATGGTCAGGTGAGTAAGAGGCTGCAGTTGAATGGAAGACAGCAGTGATGGAAGAAAGAGATGAGACCAGGATATGTGACACGCCTAAGTAGATATTGGAGTCGCCAAGACCTATGACAATGACAGAGGGCCTGGAGCTGAAATTTCCAAGAAATTGGGGTGAGGAGAGTAGGTTTATAGATTACATCAGCCCAGGAGGACTGGTAGGTGGTATGGATGGAGGACAAGAGAGTCCGTGTTGGAGAATAAATGGTCTGGAAACAGCAAGGAGGAGTAAGGAGGCCACGTACTCTGCCTCCAGGCTTACAGTGAGGAACAAGGAGTAGAAGACAGCCTTCACCTAAGCAGGCTGCAGAGGAAGAGGTGGACTGAGGGGAGAGCCTGGCTTCAGAGGAAGAGTGAAGGACCTTGAGAGGCACTGGAGAAGGGCTTTCAAAGTCGGGAGGTGGAGGTGGAGGGAGACGTCAGAAAAGTAGCCATAGGGAATGAGAGTTCACGTGATGAGCAGTGACCTGAGAAGTCTTAAAGAATGTGAACTGGAATAAAGGACGTGCTGAGATTCCCCCGATGGGCAGGCTGGTGAGACTCTAAGTGGGAAGGAGTGAGGTTGGATCTCTAAGAACATGACAGATCCATGAAGGGTGGAGGTGAGGGGAATGAGGAGCCTTATGTGGAGCACCCAGAAATCTCTAGGTGGCCTTCTCATTCCTCTAAAGATTTTCAGGAACTATCTTGACAAGCACAATAGTTCTGGGTTATAAAATATAGGGAGGTTAGGAAAGAGGAAATGAGGCTGAGGTAGTCAGCAAGGGCAGTTTATGAAGATCTGTGCACCAGATGAGAGATTTTGTGCTTCATCCAACAGTCTAGGGTATTCGTTTCTGTGAAATGATAGGTTTATTAGAACTATGGAGATTACGGACTCCTTCCCACTCCCACAAACTCCTAAAATTTCAAGGAGGCTAGAATTGATCAGTTGTATATAACACTGTTTAACCAGAGAAACAGAATCAGTAATGATACACATGAAGAAATACATTGGGCCAGCCCTGGAACCTAGTGGTTAAGGGAGCTGGATCCTGCATGGTCAACTAAGGTTCAAATCCCAGTCCCTGCAGCTTGAGGAACATGCCAGGCATGTGAGTGTCGGCACCCAAAATCCATACAGAATGGAGGAACGATAGAAAAAGGATTGCAACATGACCATGCCACACTGGTGGGTGTTTTCTCCCTCTCTGTATCTCTGTCTCTTTCTGGTGAGCACATGCCCCACTGGTATTTAAGAAAGAGAGAGATGTATTGTCAGGATCTGGACTATACAAATGTAGGAGCTGGCTAGAAGTCCACAATCTGTAGGGAAGGACTCCTGGAAAGGCAGGTTAGGTCTCCATGGCAGCAGGTGACACTGCAACCCACAGTGAGTCACAACTCTGCTCTCATGTCCTCTCAAGTGATTGACCTGAGCTACCCAGATTAGCTAGAAAAACTCTACTAAAAGTTTATGGAATTTAATCATATCTGTAAAATACCTGCACAGCAAAACTTAGATGAGTGTTTGATGAATAGCTGGGGACTGAAGCCTAGCCAAGTTAATCCATAAAACTGACCATGGCATCAGTGTATTCCCTAAAATCTACAGATCTATGGTTGAGAGCTCTTTTTGTGAGCAGGAAGAGAAGTGAGATGTTCCACTTTGCATTTCAGTAAGGTCAGATTCTCATGCTTACATGGTAAGAATTTTTAGTAAAGAATTTGAACAAACAGTACTAAAAATAAAATAGTTCTTTTTTTCAGTGCAAATCCATGTGAGTTATAGTTGGTCTCTGAAAAATAAGGCAAGTTAGGAAGAACCCCAGAGAAAATTATTCCAAACATCCCTGAATATTCAATAAAGAGATTATTTGTCTAATGTTCAAGGATTTTTAAGTAACAGATCAAATTCACAGTAGCTATTGGATCTTCCATTGAATTCATGATTGCTGAATTTACCAGCATTTATGGACACCTGATCAGTGTCCAACTCTCTTGTGAAAATGGGAAAAAATAGCCATGATTTCTGCCACCATGGTCCCAAGAGCCATTCTATTTGGGGATTACGTTGGTTAGCGTTTTTGCAGCTGAAAGTAACAGAACACCCGCCTCAAAGCAAGAGAGGTGTGGAGGTAGGGTAGGACATTTTTTCATGCATGGAACTAAAGTCTGGGGTAGCCCTCCAACTTCAGGTTCTCCTGAATGCAGGTGAATACCACCTGAGCACTGAATTTCCACATCTCATAATTCTGCTTTTGTTTGAAATGGCTTCAGTGTTGGTCAGGTCCTTCCTTGTAATGAGAAATGTCATCAGAAAGGTCTACACCCCTGTAGCTCAGCAATCCCAGTGGAAAGACTGCTGAAACTCCAAGGGCTGAGTAGATTCCCAGGGCTGAGTTTCAGTAGACTAGTTAAGCCACTTGCCCTTCTAGGAATTAATCATTGTGACCAGAGCAATGAACACCCTAGAGATGCAGGGATCTGGGTGGGGAGACCTGAACTACA